ATGTTTAAAGGGGGATGTGCCGTTTAGTGCTTTAACATCATCAATGATGTTAACCTCTTTCTAATTTGTTGCTTGAATTTCTGTCTGCCCACATCAATCGTCTAAGGAAATCTTTTGAGTCATAGAGAATCCATCATGGTGTTACATTAGCAAATATTTCTGCAACCTTTATATGTGTAGAATTAGCCTATATTTGCATGTTCAAAAGATAGCTTTGAAATGCTTTGTTTTAAATGAATTAGGTTTAGCCTTTTTTAAAATGTTTTCAAATGACATATTCTGTCTGGAAAAAAAAGGGTTATGCTTTTATAGGTTTTCTTTTCTTTTTCTCCTATTCTCAATGCACGTCTAACAAATCAAGGTAGCTTGGTTTCTTAAAGTGGACTCTGGATTCCTTCCTTCAGTGTTTCAGAAACAGTCAAAATTAAATCTTTGCCAATATAACATTGCAAAAATATATAGAATATATATTGCAAAATATATTACTGCAGAAAATAAGAACCCAGATACACATTTGCCTTACGTAAAGTTAATAAAGTGACTTTGGCTCCAAATGTATATGGTAATAAACTACATGATTTCATAACTCTACTAGTCTAGTCTTGTTTCACCCAGAGTGATTTTGAAACTGTACCTACTATAATTGTCATTCCAGTAGTTTAAAAAAAATTGAAGAGGACCAATGACGATAATAACTAAAATACTACCTAGCTTGGAAATCTAGTATTATCCTTTAATCCTAAATTTTTTTTGACCATCTTCCTTATTTTCTTGCCAAGACCCTGTAACCATAATTAGACATTCCAACTAATGAGATGAGATGAGGTTGATGGCCATTAAATGCATGGTTATTTTGGTACAAGGGCTTATTCATCAAGTTTCCCCTCCCCCTCGCACATATGTGCTAGTCGTTCCCAACTCTAGGGGGCGGTGCTCATCTCTGTTTCAAAGCCGAAGAGCCAGCACTGTCCAAAGACGTCTCTGTGGTCATATTGCCGGCATGACTAAGCGCTGAAGGCACACGGAATGTTGTTACCTTCCCACCAAAGGTGGTTCCTATTTTTCTACTTGCATTTTTACAAGCTTTCGAACTGCTAGGTTGGCAGAAGCTGGGACAAGTAATGGNGGATGGTAGAGGACAGGAAGGCCTGGAGGAACATTGTCCATGGGGTTGTGATGGGTCGGACATGACTTCGCAACTAACAACAATACAAGGAAAAACTATGCTTCTCTTTCCCTCTCAATTAAAACTATAAGCATAAAGCTTAGAAAAAGCTCCCCAAAAGACAAATGGAAGACAAATGACCAAAAAAAATGTCACTGCATGTCAAACTATGCTCTTCTTCTACGTAGTTCAGGATGCCAGATGTGTGTGGAGCCGGTAGCCCATCTTGTTGCTTGTTTCTTCATTTTGTCAAATCATGGTATTTTGTGGGTGCACTGCTTTTGACATTACCTTTAAATGTCAGTGTGCAAAATGGAGGGGGGGAGGAATGTATCCTAATTTACTCAATCTCAGGATAAGTATTGAAAGATGATCAGAGATCCTTTTTTTTAAATCATCAGGAAATACACAGCAGTTAACAGCGCAATCCTTGGTGCAACCAAGAAAAGGGGAGAATTAGCTGAGTTCAGGTAAATACTATGGTATACAAATTAAAACCTTGCTGTTTATAAAATCAGACACTTGCACATAAAATCTCTGTGTTTTTTCAAATGTGTTAGCTGCAGGCTCCAACTAGTGTGCCATACGGACACAAACAGTTCCAGACTGAAAAGGAATTAATCCCTTATAAACACACATGGGCTAATTACTCAAAGTTTATATTGCAAACCCAGAACTGGCTAAAAATCAAGGAAAAATATTAAACAAGTTTTGCTCCACATGTTCCTTGTTTGCAAATAAAAAACAGGTTTCCTCCAATTTATCCCACCCACACATTTTTCATGGCATCTATCTGAAGAGTTTTTGGATTTCCTGAGATATGAGGAAAGGAAATGTGGGGCTAATTGGCAATAGGTGTGATGAGAAAATATTTGGCAACATAATTTTTTTTTTTTAAATTGGCCTTTTCTCAAGTCCTATACAAATGTGGATTCTCTGAGGATAAGAGTCTTATTATAAGCTAATGAAACAAACTAACTCAGGATAATGCGCTTTGGTCATTCTCCAGCCCCAAATCCCTACCAATAGGATATTTTTTATTTATTTAGGAAATAAATTCCAAGCATCCCCTTAAAAATAAAATGTAGGGTGCCCTGGTTAGATCCAGCCTACACTTTGAAAGCCATTTTTTTCCTGTCATGTTTTGCTTCCCATAAGAATCTTTGATCCACTTCTATCTACATGGGGCTACCCTTGAAAAGCGTTTGGAGACTACAGCTAGTCCANAGCCAAACTGCAGAACTGCAGTCAGCTGAAGTAGCCTGCAGTGCTGCATTTAACCACTGCGCCACCTCGGTTCTTGTTCTAGCTCTACAGCAGACCATGCATGAAAATCAACAACTGTATGAAACAAAGGCATCTTTGTTTCTAAGCAAGCGTAACTGAAATTGGCTTACATGAACATACATGAAACTCTTTCCTACATAGAGTATGTGTATATATGTATAACTACTTTTGAAACATAAATATTGAAGGATTACACTTTCAAAAGATGCAAATAATTTCCAGTGGAAAATTTCTTAATAAGGTTACTACTTAACTAATAGAACCTTGACAATTTTATTCATCTTCTATTCCCAAAGAGGCTTCTCAGATCACATTAAAATATATTCACTGTTCCAATTTTCGAAACAGGTTTTGGGACGCACAGGAAATGAAAAGAACAAGGTTCTGATAGACAGGTGTCCATCATTGATCTCAACTTATTTGAACTTAGCATGGTTCTCACCACAGTCCCTCCAGATTTCTTGAATTCCTAGCCACGTGACCAATGGATTCTACAAGCTGGGGATTCCCCATATATTTGGAGAGCATCTTAGTTAATCTCTGACATAATATATAAATGTAAAAGAACAGCCATTTGGATGTGCTCAGTTCCTTGTCCAAATTGTGGTCCAGAAAATTCCCCTCCCCACTTAATAAATATTAATTACCGTATTTTGGAGTATAAGACGCACCAAGGCTTTGAAGAGGCAAATTAAAAAAAAAGTTTTTCCACTCTGCAAACTTACCCAAAATGGCCCGTTTTTTATGAAAAAGGGACCTTTTTTTCAAAAAGGGGCAAGAATAGCCCATAGGAGGCTTGTAGAGTGTTCCTGGAGGGGCGGGGGCCCAAAAATGAGCAAAAAGGCCCATTTTTCACAAAAACGGTCCCATTTTGTTTTGTCAAAAAAAAAAAGGACATTAGGAAGCTTATAGTGTGTTCCTGGGAGCTGGGGGGACAAAATTGAGCAAAAAACGGTCCATTTTGTGCTCATTTCTGCCCTCCCCAGCCCCCAGGAGCTCTCTGAAAACCTTCTACAAGCTATGCATGGCCTTTTTGGTGAAGGGGCGGGATTTCAGGAGGCAAAAAAAAGCTGTATTGTGTATAAGGCACACCCAGATTTTCAGCCTCTTTTTTGAGGGAAAAGGGTGCGTCTTATACTCTGAAAAATACGGTAGTCAATTGTTTTCACCTGGTATCTATATACATAAAAACCGCTCTGTTCGTGTGTGTGTGTGTTCCAGCATAACTCTGCTACACAGATGACTTACTCTCTGGAAACAAATATTGTGGGGGTAAGAAACCCCTGGGGGTATGTGTTCTGTTAAGATACAGCCTGCTGTGCCTTAAAATGGCTTCTACTGTACAGCCTTAAAATGGTTTATACTGTACAGCACAGTGAACTTGCCTGGTAATGGCTTCACAGTACTCACAACGGGGCTGCTTCTGGTAAAGGGGAAAAATCCAACATTAGAAATTACGCTTTTGGGGGCACAGGGACACAGGGAAAACATTTTAAATTAATTTAATTGTCGCCAAAATCAGGCCTCAGGGAGAAGTTGCTCTTGCAACTTCTTGCAGGCTTCACAGTACTCCACAAGGGGGCTCCCTCGGGTAAGGGGAACAATTCAACATTAGAAATTATGTTTGGTCTGGATATTTCCCTCATATAAATAAATACCCAAGCAAGTTTTCTATAAAATAAATTTCATATTTTAATAATTATCCAATTTTGCCCATAGTATAGAGAAAGTATAATCTAGAAAAATGCAGCAAACTATTAAATGTTATTGTTATGGAGGTGGGAGACTTTGAAAATTCTCCTTTTACTTTTATTCAAAATTGCTATAAGTCACCGTTATAAACAGGAACATACTTCTATTTAAATGTGCATTTAAGTTATCAAGTTAGCAATATGGCTAACGCTGAATAGAGATTACCAAAAAGAATGAGGTTATTGCCACACAGATTTAAAATGCTGATAACAATATGGAAGCTTTGATTTTCTCTTTAATTCTGAACAGCTAAACACATGCAGAATTCCATGTGACTAATGTTGATTTTATACATTTAAAATTAGTTTTTTTTAAAAAAAATTCTCCATTATTAAAAGTAATGATAGATACAATAGAATTTGTTTGACTAGAATCCATTTTCTGCAAAGCATCTTTTAAAAGAACCTAAATATGAAGCTCCAGGCAATATTCCTTAACGTTGCCATATTATATTTCTAGAGTACAGTTTTGTCAGAATGTTTTATTTCAACTTTGCATTTAGGAACTCTCGTGTTTGGTTTTTTTTTTCTTTTTCAGGCTGAAATTCTGATTTGGCAACAAAAGATCACAAGGGGGAGCTCAAGAGCAATACATCAGGAATCTTTCTGCCTCTCTGAATCCTTCCTATGGGATAAAAGTGTTAATAAAATACAGCACTAGAATAAACAAACGGAAACACAATCAAGACTGCTAATTTGTTTGAATGGCAAATGTGAACTTAAGGTGAATTTTCATAGCAGTTGAACACTATTCTGTGGCATGTGTTCCTACCAAGTAATCTGTACAAAAGACTTACTCTACATAGTAGACACCATATACAGGATCTTCAATCTTTTCCCAACCAGCAGGTAGTTCTAGAAACAAACAAATAAGAAACTTTTCTTTAAGCATATAAATTTCGCAATTAGAAAAATCCTGCAAACTCCCCCCCCCACACTATTTTCTATAAAGCTGAAATCTTCCTTATTTAAAACATACAAATGCACGAATGCAATGACAAAACATTTTTTTAACCCCAGGAAGAAAATGATTCCATTTAAGACATACCCACTTATTCTTAATTTTTTGATTTAACCAAGCATCCAGGCAATTGAATTAGCATTTATGGATCCCTGGGTCTTATTTTGCTACTTAGGAGTAAAAAGCATGCAATTCCTATTCAGAAAGATAGCAAAGTTGTAGTAGTGCAAAGGATGCAGATTAAGAGCAACTTTCATGATCCAGAAGCTTTTTCTGTAATTCTTGTAAAATATGGGAACCACGTTACCAATTAAACTGAGGTTTCTGATATTGCTATGGAAATTATATTTGAACACTTAAACATTACAATGTTGTCCAAAAAGACAAACAATAAAGAAAGAAAGAATTCTACAAGTAAATTCAGAATTAACAAATAATGATTTGGGGACTCATTGAAAAGGACAACTGAGTCCCAAAAGTTTTTGGTGTGTTTTTCCCAAAACTCTTCTAAAAGTTGAACTTGATGCACCATTTTTAATGTAGCAGAATGAGAACATTCTAGAATCAGTGGTGGGTTGCTAACCGGTTTACTACGAGTTTATTCGTGCTCGTGCATGTGCAGAAGCATCCGGGCAGATAGGCGGAGCCTCCCGCCACAGCCACTACCGGTTCAGCCGAACCGGGAGCAACCCACCTCTGTATAGAATCCTCAGCAATGAATTACATTACATTTAATGTAATAAAGTTTAAATGAAATCACATCAAATTCTGTCTGGAGTGCCGGGACTGCAAATCCCAGAATTCTCAGCCAAGATGACCCAAAATATCTGGAGGCCACCTGGTTGAAGAAGGCTCCAGGATCTAGCTGATGAGGTCTGACTTGTAGCAAGTGCCTGTTAGCTATCAAGGCATTTCATATTTCTATCACAACTGAAATGACTTAGAATCCCAGAGCTGACAGCACAAATCTCTGTGCACACACCGTCATTTTATCATGTTACAAAACTTGTCACTGAATCATTATCCTTTAATCACACCAGAAAGTAATCTTCATTCTTAAAACAACTGCAGGGGGAAAGAGTGCAGCAATAATAGGAGGAGGATTGCTGAGGGAAAGTAAAGAGCTCCATGCCTGAAGATTTGCTAACTGAAGGCGTAAATACTTCTATAAACATAGGTTAGTCTACAGAGAAAAAGTGTGGGAGCGTGTATCCGAATTCACCTTTTTAATTCCGCTCTTTTGTTTTCTTCATTAATGAAAAATTTACTGTAAGTCCTGGTGAAGAATACTACCGTGTTTCCCTGAAAATAAGACATGGTCTTGTTTTCTTTTGAACCACAAAATATGGCTTGGGCATTATTATCAGGGGAGGGCTTATTGTTTTGGGGTTGCCAGGTGGCTGCTCCCTTGAAAGTGGGCTCTCAAAGAGCCGGGCACAGCCTCAGGGAGGAAGCAGCCATGAGGTGACCAAGCTCATGAGCAGGCGCCTGGCAAACCCCCTCTCCAGCCAGGCAGAGCGCCATTCACTGACCTGGGGGGTATTCCTAAGACACCAAGCCACGTGGCGCTCTGCCCGGCCCCCCCAGCTTGGCACATTCGGGATACTCCCTAGGTCAGTGCATGGAGCTCTGCCCAGTTGGAGAGGGGGGTTGAGCCAGCGCCTGTTCTGCCCTAAGCCCGTATGCCTCCCAGCCTCTCTGCCATAGGGCCCACAACCATAGAGCGCACTTCTACAGCAGCCGCTGCTGGAAGAATTGGAAGCCAAGTTCCAGAGTTTGGAAGCCAGGGAAGAAGTTATTCTCAGAGTGCAGTGGCGGCAGAGAAAGTGGCCCTGGCCCTGCAGGGAGAGCTGGGCCAGGGCATGGTGAGGCTGGGAGGCATGCAAGCTCGGGGTGGAACAGGCACTCGCACAACCACCCTCTCCAGCCGGGCAGAGCTACATGCACTGACCTAGGGGATATCCAAAATGTGCCAAGCTGTGGGAGCTGGGAGGTGGGTAGAGCGCCATGTGGCTTGGCGCCTTAGGGATACCCCCTAGATCAGTGAATGGTGCTCTGCCTGGCTGGAGAGGGGATTTGCTGGGCAGCTGCTCATGAGCGCGGTCACCTCATGGCTGCTTCACCCCTAAGGCTGTGCCTGGCTCTAAGAGCCAAGGTGGCGCAGTGGTTAAATGCAGCACTGCAGGCTACTGCTAGATCAGCAGGTCAGCGGTTCAAATCTCACCGGCTCAGGGT